ATGTCCAAATTATCCTGAGGTGGAAGATTCACAGTGCCAGGTTATCCTGAACTATGCACTTTGTTTAATTGTAGCTACTATGTTTCAGGAAGGGTTAAACCTCTGCTTTGTGAACCTCCAGTCTTCTCCTATGGCTGCAGTTTTAGTTTCAATAGGATTATTAAATTTCCCATAACAGTTCTCTTACTTTTTGCTTGGGCTCATCCTTTCATAGAAGCAACTACAGTTAGTAAAAAAAAAAAAGACAGCAAAATAATAAGAATGTGATTTTTCTATGAGTCTCAAGCTATTCCTCTCCTCTTAGTTTTTAATCCCAGAATACTGGGACATTCCTGCCCTCCTGAACAACCCCTCCTAGTTGAAAAATACCTGTTTCCCTCCCTCCAAACAGGTGCTTCCTGACTACCCACAAGACCTTTCTTCTTCTTTTCCAGAAGCCTTGTTTTCCCTTTCTTTCCCTGTATTTTTGCACGTGCTTTAAAATAAAACTCAGGTGCATGAACCCTCTACAAATTGCACCTAAATAATCCATTAAACCAATACATTGCAAGCTGCGGCTTCAATCACTGTAATTTAGACCTGCTCTAAACAAATCAAATTTGAAGCTGGTTTTAAACCTGTCTTGCAAACTACTGCTTTAATGAACACACAAAATTCTTTCCAAGCCTAATTAGCTCTTCTGTTTGCTTGCACAAGGCTAAAGTTAAGAAAAAAAGCCTTAATAATTTATGAAAAAAAAAAATAAATGCTGGGGCTTCCCCTTGTAACAGCAGAGCTTTAATCCAATGAACTTTACACTTTTGGGATGACACAAGCTGCTTGTTTACCAGGATTAGTGAACTTCCATTGCCCAGGTTTGCTCAGCGATGGGTAGTTTGGGGCACTGGGTTCCAGAACCATTGGATAGTAACTTTTTTAGGTTGTTTTCTTTGGGAAATGGCTCTCTGGAAATGACTGGCACCTGTAAAGTGAACTAAAAGTTGCATGTTATCCTCTTCTGCTTTTTATCATTGGTAATACTTCAATTAAACTGCCCGGTGATTGATCAGGGAGGGTGATTTTTCATGCTGTGTGGCAGCAGAATTCAATGATCTTTAAGGTCTCTTCCAACCCAAACCACTCCACGATTTCCCCAACAGTGCAGGTGCTGGGAACTGCAAGAAACTTTCATTTTTCCCTTTCCAAAAAAATAAACCCCAGTGACTTTGGAACTGCCCTGGTGGAACAGGGCACAATAAATATCTTTATAGTGTTCGAGTTTAGGATAGTGAGGCAGGAACTGGAGATGTTTAAACCTTTGTTTAAACCTTGGCTTTAGCTGAAGATCTCTGGCCACTGGCAGCTGGGGCTTTGCAGGTGGAACCTGGTTGGATAATGGCTGTTTATGTGAAATTAAGAGGGGGGGAACAGGGGGTGAATATTAACAAACACTTCCCAGGAGTTAAGGCTGTTATTCTGTGAAATTCTGTGCCAAAATGCCATAGAAAGCTCTTACTGAGACACTTGAAGCTGGCTAGAATGAAGGGACTGCTGCAGGGAATTACATTGCCCTGATGTTAACCTGCGTGTGACCTCAGATGGCTCAGCTATGACTAAATTCCAGCGATAATTTTGGTGATAATTGCTCCCTTTATTTCTAAACCGAACTGTTATAATTCATTATAGTCTTGTCTAACAGGTCAAATTACTGGGAAACTAAAGCAGACACAAAATGAGTTGCTGATAAAGTTCTTCTTTGGATCCTTAGTTGTTTGATCAGTCCTTTGACATTAATGTATATCTTTATTGGCTGCCACTCCCATTTTACATTTTGATTTTCAGGCTTTTCTAACCTCCACAGCTCACGATTTAGGCTGCTGTGAACTGACCCCTCTGCATGTAGTCCACTGACAAATTTTACAACAAATACAACCAGAAATGCTTTTTTGTGGGTCCTTGTTCCTGTAAGTCCCTCCCATTTCCTGGAGGTCTTTAGTCTGAGCTGAAGGGGTTTGTGTGTAGAGTAAGGATTAGTAATTGCAGCATGATTGGAGTAGATAAATGCTCATTAAAGCTTTGTGCTGTGGGTGGTTGTGTATAAATTTAACATAATACAGTTACTATCCCCCCCCAGCACCTGAGTAAATGCTCCAACTCCGGTGAAATCAAAGTGTGTGCTGACAAACTTTGAATCAGAGCTGCAAAACACCCTCTGCCTAATTTACACCAACCATTCATACTGGTGTGAATACCTGTGTTGTCTGAATTAACGAGCAAGTGAACACCCAAGCGAAGGCTGTGGTTCCTGAGATGTTTTACTAATTACCAGGGCTGTGATTTAATGTTATTTATTTATTAGACTCCATTATATTCTGCAGCTCAGTTAGTTCACAACAAAAACCTGAAACGTTGCAGTCACGATCCATCGTCCTGGCACCATGATATTAAATCTTTTCTAAGAGGGATTTTATTTTAATTATAAGGTATGTACTAAAGCTTCATTAATTTATATTACAGAGCTAATTGCAGGTCTCTGCCTTTTTTATTTTTTTTTTTTTTAGCAAGAAAAGTTCTTGAACCAGTGCTCATTCTCCTATGAGGGCAAATTCTGCGGGAATTATACAGAAGGCAATGGATGAATTGGACTAAACGTGCAAAATTTCCTGCTAAACGGTTGTAGAAGAATTCTGTTTAGGTTGAAAAGAATGTTTTTAAGGAATTCTAAAAGGAACAATGCCAGCTTTCATTCTGAATCAACTGGTATCAACTAAACATGGCCACAAATTCGTAGAATTGAGTGAATTTGGTTTTGAGCTCTGGGGAACACGGCCCTGGGTGTCGAGGCCCTTAGTGCTGTAGTGATTCAAAAACAGTTTGTTTTCACTGTGGCTGTTTTCAAACTTGCAGTATGTTTGTTTTTTAGATTTTTGGATCGTTCTCAAGACAGACTAAACAAAACACTTGGTTCCAGAGATTCCCAAACTTAGGTGAGTTACAGCCCTTAAGAACACCCCACGTATGTCAGTGCTTTTTCAAACGTTATTGTTGTTTCCAAGTTTGATTTCATCTGTGTGTGCCATTTTTTTATCAGGGATGTAGTGACAAATCAGCGTTTTTCCAAAGCAGCCTGTAATTTGGGCCAGTTGTGGGTTTCTGGTGGGAGCCTGGCAGCGTGTTTGTGTTTTTAGCAGTGCCCAGTTCCCACAGCTCTGTGTTTTGTGCCGGACTTGACCAGCAATTCAATGGTCTCTCATTTATAAAAGCAGCCTCTTAGGTGTTTTGAGCTGGAAATGCAAAATTGGCGTACGTGAGGGCTTGGGAGGCTCGTTCCAAGGAGTTTGCGGCAGTGCTGGGTTTGCAGGATGAGCTCATGAATCTCCAAGTGAAATCTGGATTAGCAAGCTCTACCCAGCCCGAGAAGAAAGAAAACGTTTGCACAAACATCTGTGCAGGAAAACTGATGACTTTCACAAGATCTTAAATAGATTGTACTGAATCAATTATCCGAGTCCTGTAGTTTAAGTACAGCTGAGACTGTAACTGGGACCCGGCGAGCTAAAAAGGAGCCTCCATCCTTCCCGAGCCAGCGGGAGCTGTGCCAAGCTGGGCTCGGCTGGAAGCCTTTCTTTGTGGATCTTGCTGGCTGTCAGTGTGAAAGGTGGATGGAGGCTAAAAATGGCTCAGGAGCACGGCTGGTGTATGCAGGGAATAGCAATGAGAACAGAGTGAAATCAGAGCCCGAGCCTCGGACGCCGTGGAAAGCATCCAAGGGGGTGGAAAATGTGCAGCAAACAGGTTCTGTGGCTACTGCTGCACGAGGGGACGGCAGGAGGAGGGAGCGAGGAAGGGGGGGAAAAAATCCCGAAAGCAAAGGACAAGCGAGGGGGAGATGCCCTGAAGGACGTGAGGGGGAGATACTTGAGTGATACGATGTATCGGGAAAAGGTGTTTCATCCAGAGGATGGCTGAGCGCTGGAACAGGTTCCCAAGGGTCATGGCCCCAAAGCTGCCAGAGCTCAAGGAGCGTTTGGACAACGCTCTCAGGGACGGGGTGGGATTGTTGGGGTGTCTGGCAGGGCCAGGAGTTGCACTGGATGATCCCTGTGGGTCCCTTCCAGATCAGGATATTCCGTAATCCTGGAGGTCAGGGAATGCTCGGACAGTGTTCTCAGGTGTTGAGATTTGGGGACTGGAGGGACTTTTGGAGTTGTCCCGTGCAGGGCCAAGAGTTGGGACTGGATGATCCTTGTGTGTCTCTCCCAAATGAGAATGTTCTGTGATCCTGATGGGTCCCTTCCAGCTTAGGATATTCCATGATTCTGGAGGTCAGGGAGTGCTTGGATGGTATTTTCAGGGGCTGGGACGAGGGAAGACTTTTGACATCATCCCATGCAGGGCCAGGAGTAGGGACTGGATGATCCTTGTGGGCCCCTTCCAGCTGAGGATATTCCATAATCCTAGAGGTCAGGGAGTGCTTGGACAGTGTTTTCAGGTGCTGAGATTTGAGGACTGGGGGGCACTCTTTGCGTTGTCCTGTACAGGGCCAGGAGTTGGGAGGGACCCACAAGGATCATCCAGCCCCAAGTCGGAACGTTCCGTGATCCCGATGGGTCCCTTCCAGGCCGGGGTACTCCGTGAAGGGTGGTGCACCCGGGGGGACAGGGCTCCCCGGAACTCAGCGGCTCCCCCGGGCAGCGGCTCCCGGACACGTGAGCGCGGAGGGGCGGCGGGCGAGCACCGGCGCTGCGAGGGGCGGCCTCGCCGCCATGAGGGGCGGTCGGGAGGGGGCGGTCGGGGGGCCATGGCGGCGCCGCCCTCCCTCGTGAGGGCGGCCCGGTTCCCGCCCTGCGCTGACGTCACCCGGAGCTCGGCCGGCGCCATTTTGGACGCTCCTCGCCGGGGGGGCCGGAGCGGGGCCGCCCCAGCCCCGCCGCGGCCGCGCCGCCGCCGCCGCCTCCTCCTCCTCCGCCTCCTCCTCCTCCTCCTCCATCCGCCGCCATCGCCGCCCGCCGCCGCCGCCCGCCCCGCGCCGCCCGCCCCGCCGGCACCGCCCGCGCCGCCCGGCCCCGCCGCCGCCGCTATCGCCAGCACAACATGGCAGGTAAGGGCAGCCCGGCCCCCCATGGCTCGGGGGGGCTCGCCCCGCTGCCTCCCTCCTCTCCCGTTCCTGCCTGCGCCTTCCTGCTGGTTTCTTCTCCTTTTTTTTTTTTTTTTTTTTTTTAATAATTCTCCCTTCTGGGAATTCGTTTTTTTGCTCCCACCCACCCCTCCCGTCTGGGTGGGGAGAGGGGGAGAAAAAAAAAAAAAAAGAAGCATGGAAGGAGCAAGGTGGGAGGGGGAAGCGGTGTGTTTTTTGGAGTTGAGGAGCTCGCGGGCAGGGTGGGTCTGTGCGCGGAGTCACTGGAATGGTTTGGGTTGGAAGGGACCTGAAAGCACCTCCAGTTCCCCGCCGTGGGCAGGGACACCTTCCACCAGACCAGGTCGCTCCAGCCTGGCCTTGGACACTTCCAGGGATCCAGGGGCAGCCCCGGCTCCGCTGGGCGACCCGTGCCAGGGCCTGCCCGCCCTCACGGGGCAGAATTCCTCCCCCGTATCCCATCTAACCCTGCCCCCTTTCCATTCGAACCCGTTCCCCCGTGCCCTGTCACTACACGCTCTTGTAAGGAGTTTCCCCCTCCGGGCTTTGGGGCTGCTGTTGGGGTTTATTCCCCGGTTTTCGGGGCTGTGCACGGGGAGCTTCCAGGTGCAGGCGGTGGCCAGGGACAGTCGCACCCTCTGAGCATCTGCAAACGCGACTAAAATTGGGCACAGGGTGTAATTAAGTAACACAGGTCTCCTGTGGTGTTGTTTTTTTTTTCCTCATTCCTTCCCGTGCTCGCTCCCCATTTTGCATCCCGAAAGTGCTGTTGGTAGCTAGAAGTGTGGATGCAGGAGGTATTTCTTCCCTCTTTTACTTTTTCCTCGCGATTCCTTCATTTGGAGATATATTCGTCCCCCTCCTCTGCACATGAATTGTCTTTTCAGCGCTTGGCATGTGGAGGAGCAGAGCATGGGAGGCTCTGTGAGGTTTGTGCTTTGCCTTTCCCCCCTACACCATATGCACATGCTCCACCCTCCTCTTGCCGATTTAGTCGCGGGGAGGGGGGGGAAGTGCCAACTTGGTTCAAGTAAATTGTATGGAAAAGAGAATTTCAGCCTGAAGTAGCAGGAGCAGTGTTTTTTTTTCCTTCCAAGCTGTCCCCTTTAAGTGCTTCCATGGTGCCAGCTGCTGAATGACAAATGAAGAGGTTGGGGGGGAGGAAAGGAAATGGGCTGTAGGATTTTTTTGGGGGGAATTGTAGAGCTAAAAGAAAAAAAAAAGGCGTTTTGCCATTTCCTGCATAAATGGATGCTGTTACTTGCCTTCACCTTCTCGGGTTATGCACCTGTAATCCTTCAGGGAAGAATTTAAGGCAAGCAAAAAAAAAAATGCAAACTGCACCTTCTATTCCAGCACTTCTCATTCTGAGAGACTTGGTCTTTTCTGGAAGGATTATTTTTGGGCTTCTGATTTCCTTCTCGTTTACTTCTTTTTCCCACCCCCCCTCTGAACTTAGGAAGAAGTCTCTCCTGTATTCTTTGTTATCCCCAAAGCCCTCCCAGAGCTCTGGATTAATGTGGAAATGCCATCTGTTGCTCAGCCGGTTCGAGTTGTGTGCAGGAAAAGTTCCATTTTGACAGTGGCTTTCGGGTGGGGGAAAAAAAAAAAAGGCAGAAAAAAAAAAAAAAAACAGCCGAGCGAGACAAGCCCATTTCTGTCTCTTCCTGTATGTCCTCAGCCCTGCAGTGATTTGCTCAGAACGAAATGCAAAAGAAATGGGTGGTGATTCTGGTGTGTGTTTTGGTGGCAGGGTTCAAATGAATCACTGCCTTCCGCCGAGGCAGTAATGTTCCTGAAGTTTTCTCTCCGATCCGTTTTCTATGGTAGTAGAACTTGTTCCCATCCGATTGCTTGTTTGCTTTTCTGCTCGGATTTGCTGCCTTATTTTTTTTTTTTTTTTTTTTTTTTTTTAATTATTATTTTTCCCAGGCTGCTAATTGCTTTCGTTACCTCTGCGAAGAGACTCTAAAATTGTGGTAAAATTCTTTTTCTTTAGCCTTTAGCGTGGAGGTTCAGTGAGAGGAGGAAATGAATCGTGTGCTCGGGGGAGGTTGGAGTTTTCCGAAAATGTACAGCTCTGATAATTTATATTTGAAGTTGTTTGGTTTATATTTAAAGATGTGTGTGTGTGTGTGTTTAGAGGGTTCTGCTAAAGTAGGGAGAGGGTTCCTATGAAATCCGTGCATTTTAAATTCAGAGTTGATGGTTCTCCGCCCAGCGAGCTTTTGGTGAGAGGAGCTTTCACACTGCTTGTGCTTCCCTGTTTTCCACAAAACCTTGCATTAAAGGCTGACAAAAACAATATCCAGAGGAAAAAGGTGGGGAGGGTGGTTGTGATTGTGCCTGGGCTCTGCTGAGGAAGTGGGCGTGCTCAGGCTCCCAAATGTGCTCTGCAACCATTGTGTGCGCCGGGGCTGCGCTGGGGGGGCTCAGCTCTTCAATTGTTCCCTTCTTTTTTTATTTTTCAGGAGCTGGAGGAGGAAATGACATTCAGTGGTGTTTTTCTCAGGTGAAAGGCGCTGTAGATGATGATGTAGCAGAAGGTAAGAGCGATGTTTTCTGCTGTTTTCTGACTTTTTAACTACTTCAGCAGTAGTTCAGCATAAGGGTGCAATCAGTAAAATACCCCAGTGCTGCTGTATTCGGCTTGAGCAAAGCAAACAGACACTTAATCTGCATTCCCATACCCACAGTCAGGATTAAACTGTGCTTTGAGAGTCCCGTTCTGCACACTTGTAAAAAAAGTTCAGGCTTCCTAACTATTTTTGCTGGAATTCTTTTCCAAGATTGTTAAGATTTTTCTGCCACTCAGCTCTTGGTTTGTGTTTTTTTTCCTAATCTGCAAAATGGGGAATGTGATACTCGCATTCCACAGGGAGGTGTTGTGAGAATTAATTAATAATTGTTCTCTTTGAAGATCTAAGTACTAGATAAAGTAATTTTCCCAATCTTTCCAGCCTCTATTAACCAGAAGAGGAATAAATCTGAATATTCTTGTGTGCTTACCTATTGCAGAAAGAGCGGGTTTGAGTTTGAAATGATACTGGAGATTGCCTAAAACTTTTCTGGGCTGGCAGTGACAAGTGTCATCTTCCACTAAGATGGCTGCCTCTGATTGTCCCTGCAAAAACTGTGCTGGTTATTTGCTTTTCCTTGGATTTGGGAGTGTCAGAGGAATGGTCCTTTTCTCTGTGCTGGAGAGCAAAATCTCCTCTGTGATTTTTCTTTTTTTTTTTGAGGGAAGTCCCTCTGACTTCAGAATTTCTGTGGCCACAAAGTCTTGTTTGCACCAGGCAGCCCGTAAGATCAGGAGTTAAAATGTTTCTTTTGCAAGCAGTTGGCCTTGTCACTTATGTAATTCCTGTTTTTTTTTTTTTTCTTTTTTTACATATCTTGGATGCTCTGACTTACAAGTGAGATTAATGTTATATTTAGAAAAGCAGTAACTACAGTTTCCATTATTTCCCCATTTGACATGTGGTTCAAATTAGCTTCCAAAGGCCAGAAAAAAAGACCAGTATAAACATGAGTGCCTTGTTTTTATTTATGAGTTGCAGCATGTGGCAAACAATGCACTGTCAAAGGCTGCTGTCGTTTGCAAGATGAAAGATGGCTTTTTTGGAAACAAGAAAGCTGTAACAACTCCCAATTTAATTTTAAATCCTTCAGGAAGTAGTTTTTAAAGCTTGAACTCAAAACTACTCTTAAATGTGGTGTAGTTTTTTTCTTGTCAGACTTTAAATTCTGTAACCTTTGTTTTGATTTACATATCAAACTAAATCCTTAATTAAATACGAATATTGAAGAAGTTGTGGTTGCGTGGCAGGAGCTTGCACGTAATTCTTTGTTAAATAGCCATGTTGACATGCATGTAACAGCAGTGAAGTTGTGTACAGAGAAGTGGCTTTCCCAGGGAATGCAGAAGTGAGGAAACAACCTGTCCTGAACTTCCTGAACTGTTCTGGAGGGTTGCACTTGTTGTTACGAAAGGTGCCTCGCCAGCCTTGTGCCTCCTGACAGGTTGGGAGCTGCTCTGGGACTGCTGGAGTCACAGGGTGGGGTTCAGGGAGGCCTTGGAAGGAATTCAGGAGCTTCAGTGGCAGGCAGGCAGGCAGCTTGGTTTCCAAACCCTGGGGAGAAGGGCCACTTTGGATTTTATGCCCCATGTAGCCTTGTGAGTTTGTGACCCAAAGAGCAGTTTTGTTTTGTTGTCATCATACCTGACTTAGGATGAGCCTTAAGGTACAAACCTTAATAAACTGCAAGACCTTCTCAGACTGGCCTGGAGAGAGATCCCAAGTATTATTGTATTACTGATGTTATATTTGGTTGTGATTAATTTGTTGACATTCTCTCCTCTTCCTGTGGATTTGGCTCCCACAATCCACCCTGGAAGTTGTTGAAAGCAGCTCTTTTGAGTTGTTATGCTTCTTAGTGTCTGTTGGAAGGGTCCACAATGCATCAAGCTGGTTGCATTTTTCCTTTTATTGGCTGTATTTCTGGCTTTAGGGTTCACTTTTATGACACAGAGCCGTGTGTGTACAAATTCTTGTACAAATTGGAGCAGCAGCTTCTGCTCCTTTGGAATACCCGAGTTGATGGTGGATCCAAGGGCAGACTGAGGACCTCTTTTCCCTCCCTGCCTTTCCATCTGCTTTCTTGTGGCATCCCTGGGGTGAAAGCTGAAGGAAATCTGTGTGTCTCAAACTCTAATGACTGTTTAACCACTGTGGTCTGCCACTGAACAGGTCTGCACTCCAGTCGTGTCTGTGGTGAGGACGGTACCAATTTGGGTATGGGAGCACCAGGGTGTGGAGTTCTGGGGTTTGGAATGGCTTTGGAGCTCAAGTTTTAAACCCCACAATGCTGCAACTTCACTGAAAACAAACCTGAGCTGAAACTTGGCTGAAAACAAACCCAAAAGAAACGGGAGTTTCGCTTTCTGTTCCCTTCCCCTCGGGAAATCAGTGTTGCAACATTTACACTGGAGAGTGGCTTAAACTAAGCTAAAGGCAGAGTTAACCAGGAAAACTGCAATATTTCATGGCATTAGTCAGTAGGATGCAAAGCCAGTGGTTTCTCCATGGTGTTGTCTATAAAACAGGCCAATGGGGAATAACATTTTGCAGAGTAACACTTTTAATCCAGTGAGAGTGGCAGCAACTGTAAAAGCTTGTCAAGAACGCTGCTGTGTAACTCCTGGTGTATTTAAGGTCAGCCTTCACATCACATGGCTAACCTGTAATTCTGGGGATACTTAGGCCAGAGTGGTTGGCTGTTACAAAGTCAATATTTGATGGCTTTGGTGGCTGAAACATGAACTCTGATACAGAGTTTTTAATTTTCTGGCTCTCCCAGCCCTTTGTGATGGATGGATGTGACACGTAAGGGAAAGGAGGACAAACTGTAACTAAAGCTTGGGGAAGGATGGCAATGGAGCCGTGTCTGGGGCCTGCCTGGGTCACTGCTGTGGCACAGCTTTTCTAATGAGCACTATGAATGTGAGGAGCAGAACCAGCCTCTCTTCCCTTGGTATGTGTGGAATTTATCCTCGGCTCTCAGCTGTGGCCTGGCTCTCTCAGGTCACAGTTAAGCACAGAAATCAGGTTATAAATTGAAATCTCAGTGCCAGCTTCGTTATAACCGGGGTCCTTAATTTTGACTGGTGGCAGGAGTTTGCCTTTTTGTGATTTAACAGCCCATTGTAGGAGGGCAAAGGTTGGAGTTTGTGCTGCCTCTGTTTCTGAAATCATTTTTCTCCCTTTTTAATTTCATATTTGTCTTGCTGAAGCCCAGTCCTACAATGTATCTGTGTTCAGCTTGTTCCATGTGCTCTGGAGAATCCAGAGCCAGGACACAGGGTCAGACAGGACTTCTCCAGTGGAGAACACGGAGTGATTGTTGGTGATAAGTTCAATAATCAGTTTATCAGAAGTGTCTTTAATACACAGATTTCTTTCTTTTGTGCCATCACAGTTACAATGCAAGGAAGACTTAATTGTCCAGAAGTACTTCACTGTTTTCTTAGTCCAAGTTTCCTTTATGGGAATGATTACAGCAAAGGATCACAAAGATTTTCAGCAGCAGTTTTGTTGGTTTTGCTCTTGTGCTGCTCTCCAGGATGTGGCACAGTAGCAACTGCAGTTGGGAACAACTAAGGATTGTGAGTTTAAACTGTCTCTAAACTAGACACTTGCTTAATGGAGTGAGTTTGTACTTCAGAACAAATTAAGTCACATTTGTTTAATTGCTTGGCAGAAGGAAGAGAGTCAAGCTGCTGTATCTAAATGTTCTTTCAGGTGTAATTCAAAGATATGTAAAAGTCTGATAGTCCAGGTCCAAGGCTGGGAGCCAGGAACTTAAGTTGTCAGCTTTAAACCTGAGTAATCACTGGTCATCTTTCACAAGTTGTTTAACTATTTTATGCCCAAAATGTCTCTGAAAGAAGACCCTGAATATTTGCTGTGGGTGCTGGTTACTGCCTTAATTTTGAAGTCTGATGCTTAACCATTCTGTGCTGCTTTGTTACTAACCTGGGACTTGCTTCATGTTCCCTGTTTTTGAGCCAAAACAGGCCAAATCCCTTGTTCAGGAATGCTTTCAGTGTTTGGTTCTCAGTGTGTTACATCTGTCAAGTGCAGTTTGATATTTATATTTGACAGACTTCAAAATTGCAGAGCAGGAATGGGAACTTGTTGCTTCAGCAATGGTAGTTTGTCCTCAGTGCATGAAAAGTGTTCTCTCTGAGTAAGGAAAACTGAAGCCAGGAATGAGGAGTGCTGTAAAAAAAGGCAATTTACCACAATCTGGGCTTTTTTTTAATGGGGATTGATGGAATGGGAGAGGATGAAAAATTCTCGGAGAAGGAGTGACAGCGTGAGGTTGTGATAATATTGCTGAGGAAAGATTGGGATATAGTTGTGGGAGGGAAGCTAATTTGGGGTTTTGAGGGCTGTGGTAATGTTCTGTAGCATCAGGTACAAGGAGCAAGGACTAGTAATAAGTTTGGTTTCAAGAGGTAGTTTGAAATAGGCTGTAGATGAATAAAAAGACCCCTGGTTATAGTCCTGTTCTGTATTCCTGAGTCTGCTTCTGGTTTTGAGCTCTTTTATCTTCGGCTGTTTGTAGAATGACTGTCTGTATCTAGAGAGAGAAATAGGCTACTGTGTTCTAGGAACTGCTGCTCTGGATTGACTAGAGTGTGAAGTGCCCCAAAACAAAGAGCATTTAACAAACAGAGAAATAGTCCGGGGCTGCTCAGCTCCCCAGAAGTAATTCAGTCCTCTCTCTGGAATGGCTTTGGTAGTTGGGGCACTTCAGCTTGTCAGTCAAGCTGCCCAGTGTTGTTCTGGTTATTCTGTGAGGCTTTGCTGTTCTTGGAATCTCTGTCTGAAATTCAAAATGAGTTGGAAAGAGGAGCGAGGGCTCTGTGTTGAAAACCTGGTGTCCCAGTGCTCCTGCCCAGCTCAAAGGAGTGCAGCTTGCTCTCAGGAGCAGTGCTGGGGGGTTACAGCTCTGCAGCAGCTTTGGGGCCCTTCCTGGC